TCTAAAGTCTCCTTTGGACTTAATCCTTTTCTCCTTCTCTAAATGGTCTGAGACAATGGATTAAGTTCTAAAACAACGTATGTTTCCTATTCATTTTGGTGCAATGTTAAGTCTCAGTGGATATCTGTTCAAAACTACAGATGCAGATACCCAGTATCTCTCTGTATTCTTTCAATTCTTCTTATGATTAGCCAGAATCTTTCTCAGTTCAACTTATTTTTATGATGTCACAAAGGCATCTGGAAATCACCAACATTTTGATAATATTGTTTCCTAACTTCTCACCTATTGCTACAAAACTCAACAATCACACCAGGTATATTTTAACTAACTCCTGTGTCAGTTTTCACCTTTTTACATAAGTTTTACTGTCTTTACATCTCTAGGGTTCTAAATTACTACATATTTAGTGCTGACTAAATAGCTCTGGATTAAAGCACCTGCAAGCAGGTGCAGGGCTTGGGGTTCGATCCCTGGGCCTGCGGTGCCAGCCCTGTCCCTGGGGGCATGCTGAGACAGAAATTGACACTGGGCGTGTTGGTACATGGCTATAATCCCAGCATTTGGGAGGCTGTAAACAGGAGAATCACTACGAGTCCAATCTAGTGAGACCCTGAACACCCTATAGACCCTTCCCTAAAAACTACAGAAACAAATAAATACATAATACATATTTTACAAATATAAATGGCTCCATGCTGCTACTTAATGAAAACTACTGAGCCAAAGCCACAGTTCTTCCCTGTTCTTGTGCTATTGTTAAGTCTGCATCACTGTTCTCTCTGATGTGGACAGGCAGCCCCCTCAGGTCTATCTCCACTGCTCCTGCATCCATGTAAGTCACCCTTTCTTACGGGAGCCACAGGCTCCTTATTGGCCACTACACCTCAAAAATTCATTCGTATTCCACCTTGATTCCTAGCAAACATTCTAAATAAAAGTGATCACAGCAACTTTTCCTGAAAGCATTTAAATGGTTCCTTTGCTCTTAGATCACAATTCAATGTTCTGTCGCAGACTTTGCTGTCCTCATGCTCCAGTTATGTGAATGCCATTTTAGTGCCCTCAAATACAGCATAAACAGATGTCTATCATCAGCTAGAAAACAATTCCTCAGTTGTTCTGCATGGCAGAGAATGAGTTCATCCTTACTTGTTCTTCAAGATTTGCCAAAGTCTTTAAATTTCTTGGGAATACATCTTTGACTCCTCAATCTCAATGAAGTATTTTCCTATTTATTTCAGTCTCTTACTCTTATTATCAACCATAATATATTCTAATTATCTATCCTCCTTCATCCCACAGCACACACACTACATACTTCATATAGCATGCCTTCAGTCCCTCTAGACTTCGCATGATAAATAAATAGATGCTGATTGAACAAATGCATGAACTGTACAATTTCAGTATGCAATGACCTCCCGCATCTATCCTGAATCCTAAGCTGCCTTCCTTTTAGGCATCAGATCTCCTTTTCCAACTTCCTCATGGCTATCTCCATTTAGATGACTGCTTAACAGTTTAAAAAGAAAATTTTTAACTTCCCCCATCCAAAAAAAACTACCCCCATCCTTTTCCCACCAATTCAATATCTGTTCTCCCCCTCAACAAGTTTTGAATGTTTGAAGTGTATTTGTCCCTCTAAAATTCATGTGGGAGCCTGTCATCCAATCTGATGGTATTAAAAGGTAGGAGCCAGGCATGGTGGTGAATGTCCGTACTCTCAGCACTCTCAGAGGCTGAAGCAGGAAAAGTGCAAGTTCAAGTTCAGCCTGAGCAACTCAGCATGATCCCATCTCACAATAAAATGTTATTTCAAAAATCGGTAGGATCTTTGGAGTAATCATTAGATTATTAGGAATCCGCTCTCATGAATGAAAATAATGCCCCTATTTAAAAGGTTTCAGGTATCTGCCACAAAGACTCTCAGGTGTGTGTTGGAGAGTGGTTCTCCATCTCTTGATCCCCAAAAAAGGAAGAGGTATGGCCCTAAACCATGACACTGATGAGGAAATGCATGGCAGAAGAGCAGCTGTTGACAATATCATGTTGAGTAACTGAAGTCTTGATTTCAGCGGACTTAATCAAAGCTAAATTAAATAGATACAGAACCCATTTCTGAGAGTCTTCATTCTATAAATTTTGACTTGTAAGAAAGAAGGGGCCAATTTGTAAGAACAGCCCTGTCCTGATACAATTATTTTCTGCACACACACACACACACACACACAC